ATATAATTTAATTTAAGTTTAATAATAAAATAGTTTATTTTTGGTTTAATATTATAAATTTTATAAAGATAATAATTAAGTATTCTGTTAGAATTTAATGATTATACTAATTATATTTTAGATTTTTTTTATTTAAAATGAGATGTTTATCCTGTATTTGATTGTGTTTATCTGCAGTTAGTTACACGAATTCAAATATGAAATGAAATCGGATAGGGATGAACGGGTTTAAGAGTTTTTAAGAGTTTTAGTCAAATGCTTTATAATATAGTATATATATATATATATATATATATATTATATTATAAGAGAGGAGCGATCAAATAAAAACCACTCCAATTTGTAAAAATCGTAAAAACTACTCTCATTCGTCGTTAATCTTATGAAATTTTTTCATGAAATTGTTAATCTTGTAAAATTGTTTCATATAATATTTTTTTTGATGAAGTTGTTTCATATGTGGTTTTGAAATTGTTTCATATACTACTTAATGAAATTTTAATGAAACTGTTTCATGTATTTCTCTAAAATTAAAATAATAAAGATGATAATATCCATGATTAACACCCTCCACAATAAAAATGGTTAATCAACCTCTCATAATTAAAAAAAAAATGAACAAAATGAAAAATTATGATTGGTTGAATGAGGTTTTCACGGTTTTTACAAATTAAGTGGTTTTCACGGTTTTTACAAATTAAGTGGTTTTTATTTGAACCCACCACTATGTTGAGAAGTGGTAAATATTTGAGAATTAAAGAAGTTATCCCAACATTTCATTTAGTCAACATTTGTGGCTTTGACCGTGAAACATAAAATAATTCCTTGCATGAGTATGCAGAACATAGAGAGGTAGTTTCATAATTTTTACAAATAAATGGCAAAGGGGTTCATATGTGAACCCATGTGATACACATATGAACTATATGTTTATATGTGAACCCATTAATTAGTTCATATGTGAATCATACGGGTTCATATGTGAATTAGTTAATTAGTTCATATATGAATCAAATAAAATAGTTCATATGTGAACCACATAGGTTAATAAATTCGTTTTGCCGCCTATTTGTAAAAGTTACAAGACTACCCTCTCTATTTTTTGCATAGCCGCAATTTTTGACCAGTCAAAGTTGTAATTATTGACCAGTCAAATCCGATCTTGACCATATGAATGGCTAGGATCATATTTTTACGATTTCTCAAAATAACCTTTGGCTATATATAAATATGTGTGTGTATATATATATATATATATATATATATAGAGAGAGAGAGAGAGAGGAGAGAGAGAGAGGGGGGAGGTTCGGAGTAAAACATCAAAAAAAATGAAAACTTGAAGAACACTATGCTAAACATTCATCTAGAGCATATGCACATGTGCATATAAGTAATTGAAGTTGTTTTTTGGTTTTATACACGTGTGCATGTTATGTATACCGAACAAATTGCTTATAAATTACTTCTATGCACATGTGCATACGGTTCAAATGAACGGTTATCAGGATGTTCCTCAGTTTTTCATTTATATATATATATAAACCATATAAACCGATCTTAACCGTCCACATAGCCTAATGAATATTTGGTTTCATAAATATCTCCATTGTTTCCTTACCATAATATAAGACAATGATAATAATAAATTAAGTCTTATCATCTTTCGTAAATCAAACACTCATATTAATACCAACAAAAAGAGAGCATTCTACTTACAAAGTTGCTAAAGTGTGCACTTAAACAACTTGGTTTCCAACAAAGTTAAAGCTCACCTGTTTTCTTGATCGTCTTGGAATACCTAGAAAAGATATCAGAAACCTCAAGCTTACCTTCCAATCTCATCTTTCGAGCCAATTCCTCGAGTACGTTAGGTTTACCAGTCCCACACAAATCGGCAGCAAACTTATTGTAATCAAGTTGAGGCGGTTTCATGCCTTTCTGTATCATTTCCTCAAGATACTTGCATGCCTCCATTCCTCTTCCGTGCCTAATGAGTCCTCCTATTAACACAATATACGAATTATCATCTGGGCAAACACCCTTTCCGTTCATCTCCTCCCAAACTGCAACACCCATGTCGTAATTTTCTGCCCTAAAGAATGATTTCATCATCATGTTATAGGTGTGGATCGTTGGCTCAATGTCGTTCTGAATCATCTTCTTGTATATCCTCACTGCATCATCTGGCATTTGGCGGTTTGCCATCAATTTGATCAGAGTATTATACATCCTTCCATCAGGCGGGCATCCTTTTTCCTTCATCTCTTTCAACAATCCGTAAACTTTATCCATCTGCTTTTGGTTTCCGAAACCTTTAATCAAACATGTGTAAACTGCAGCATCTGGCAGGCAGCCACAGTTCAGCATGTCCTCATAGCACTCAACAGCCTCTTTCATCCGTTTTTGCTTGCATAGATCGCTAATCTTGATTGTATAGCTCCTTGCATTAGGAAATGGACCCTTTGCTTTCATGACCTCAAACAACTTCACAGCATCAGACCTTTTGTGGACCTTTAACAACCCTTCAAGCATGGTGTTATGGGCCACAATGTCCGGATACATATCTTTGTCTATCATCTCATTCCACACCTTCCCTGCCTCCAACAGATTTCCAACTTTACACCAACCATTTAGCAAGATCGTATATGTTTGTATATTTGGTGTAAACCTACCTTTTAACTTATCAAACAAAAGTTGAGCTTCTTTCCCAAGCTTTGCCCTACCAAGATTATCAAGCAAACAGTTAATGCTATCGACCCCAACTTTGAAATTGTGTTTCTTCATCAATTCAAAGATTCCAACGGCTTTCTTCCTTTGTTGTGCAGCTGCAAATGCTTTGATACAAATCTGAAACGTCTCTAATGTGAGCAATCCTTTCTCACCCATTTCATCAAGCAAAGAGATCATAGTCTCGAATTGCTTAGTTTTCCCAAGTATACTCATCATCGAATTACACGTTCTTGAATCGTGGCTGAACCCTGGCTGTTGACCAGCCCAAGAAAAGAACCTAAAAGCTGGCCGTCTAGCATGTCTGAACCTTTCCAATACATCCACAACCAGATCATGAGTCAAGTTAACTCCACATTCATCTAAAACAGCTTCCATATTTCGATCCAAGGCAAACAATTCCTCAATCACATCACAAACCCGTCTGACTTCCTTTTCATCAGCTACAGACTTCACAGCTACACTCTCATCACCTTCAACATCTTCCCCTTCTGATTCACCATCAGAATTTGCAGCTTCGCAAAACCTCCTAATTCGGGAGTGCGATATTTTCTCTAATAGATCAGGATTTTTCAACTTCGAAATGGAATGTAACATATTTCTTTGTCTAAAACTAAGTGATAAAGCGGAATGCACATCATTAGACCTAGGGTTTACAAAAGTAATCGATTTTGATTGCGAATTTACATGAATTGACCTAGGGTTTGAACCTACTAACACTTCTTCTTGTACAGGAGAGATCCAAGAGGAGTGTGGCAAAATATATGGAACTTGACAGTCAGTACGATTGAGACTATTATCATCACAAGCATGAAACATACGAGACAAGGGCAAAGAGCTACCGTTAAGCAAGAGCACTTCCCTTCGAACGGGTTCTCGCCTTCCTCGAAGTGACGCCCCGTCTTGTCGTCCGTGGATGATAGAGAATACGCCGGCGGCGGCCCGGTGGTAGATTCCGCCATTGTTGAGCTTAAATTGCGAGGAATTTAAATGATTTTTAAGTTTAGTAGCCATTGAACTCCATGAAAATGGTTAGATTTAGAAGATGATGGCGGCGATCAGTATCACTAGTCGAGTGGGTGGAGATAGAGACGGTAAGTAACGTACAACTAACGGCGATGGATATTGTGACCCGGGTCGGGTTTACCGGATAATCTATAGACCCAGCCCATTTTAATTGCTAGACTTGAGGCCCATAGAATCATGCATATTGAATATTTATCATTGAATACAAAATAGAGTTAAATAGGGATAGCTAAATTGCACCCAGCCCGGATCGATAGGGACCGGTTATGGTCCAACAGTTCAAAGACAAGTTAGGGGCTGTTTACCAAACACTTACCTGGTAAGTGTTTACCGGTAATATTTAACACTATTATTTATTTACCGGGTAAGATTTTAGTCCACCAAAACGACATACGTATGCAACAAGTTACCCGGTAAGCGTTTACCGTAGTAAGAGTAGTCGCTCTCACTTACCAGGTTAGACTCTTGGTCCTTGTCTCGCTCTTACCGGGTAAGATTGTTGGTTCTTACCATATTCATCCGGTGAGATAATGTTACTTGGTAAGCCTTACCCGGGTAAGCGTTTGGTAAACGACCCCTAATTTTATAGAGTTTTTAATCAAGGTTTTAAATAACATGAGACATGACGGTGAGGTCAAACTTCAAACCTTACAAGTTACGACGTGACCAAAATGGTTCTTAAGATGTGCCCTAAAATCAAATAGTTATTTATTTTGAATGGTAAAAGAGGGGCAGTTACTCTAAGCCAGGGTCTACACCAACTTTACCTGGGACCGGGATGCACTCCTACTCCACCACCAAAGCTATCGATGATTCAATGAGAGGCCACCAGATGTCAGCATTTGTATAGACGCTATTTTTCAATTTGTTTAAAGTTTTTCTTTTTCAAAAAATTTAAGTTTTTTTAAAAAGTTTTTCAAGATTTCATCCACTTCAAAGTATTATTTAAAGTGTATTTCAATATTAAATTTTAAAAACCATAACTACAACACCATAAAGTGTAAAAAATTTATATTCTTTTTTAAAACCATAGCGGACATGGGACTGAGCCTACATTAGACCTCGGGTTGTAGGTTAGGACCGGGACTAGTCCGCCCGGTTTTGAAGGGACCCAAATTGGGACTAGCCCTGTACCCATTTTTGGCTAGTGTAAAATATACACAAATTAGATCTAACCAATAAGTGTCATATCTAAAATATATCAAAATATAAATAATTTTTTTAAGGTGAGTTCTGTGTGAGATTGATTGGGGTTGTTGGTAATCAACTTTTTCCCAAAGTATTAAATTTATTTTAGTTTTATTCAATATAATGATTAATTTTGTTCTCAATTATTGCAATAAGTGTTTGATTCTCATATTAGGTACATATTTTTCCTGATAAACGAATTCCTAACCTACGTGACATCGATAAATTTCAATACAACATTTTCAATGTAATCAAGATTTTCAATAGAATTTGAAAGTTCAGTATGCACATCACCAATGGTTACTAGATATACCAGCTAACCGTCAACATAAGAGGGTGTTTGGGATTGCTTATTTGAAACAACTTATATTTTTCTACAAAAGCACTTACCAACTTATTACAGGTCAGAAACATTTAACTTCTTCAAAAACTCCTTATTACTAGTTTGGCACCGGTATAAGTTGTTTATCCAAACACTCAAAAGTGCTTATTACCGGTGTCACACTTGAATAAGTCAATAAGTTGTTTTTATAAGCATTCTCAGACACCCCTTAAATACAAAATATGCAAATTGAACATTTGTTACATTAATTGAGAAAAAAAAATCCAACATTACACTAAATAAGATTTAATACAAAACTCGTCACATTTGGTATAAGTTTCGTTAGGAAATGTTAAATGTTATTAAAGTGATTATTATAACGCTTAAAAATTAAAATCGAATAATTAGATTTAGTAAAATACTTAAATGTATGAACGGTTATATAATTTTATATTACCATCAAACATTTGTAGTCTACTTCGTTATAGCAACTTCTCACTTGACTCGTCCCTAAAACATACCACAATTAGTTACGAGGTAGTATACATGCACAAATTAGTAAGAATTTAAGTTTGTTCATCGCAGTGTGGAAGTCATATTTCCTTTGAGGATTGTAACCCTTGTGGGCACTTAGCCTTTACGTCAGCTATCTAACGAGTTGTTATGTACCTGATTTATTTTTCACAAGATTCCCGATAGAATAAACCGAATAAAAGTTACCATTTAAAAACCCTTTTTTCACATAATTGTTTTTTGATTCTCAATATATGATAACTTTTGTTTTAGAAGACTTGGGATCATGTGAGACCAAAGGTTTTTCGTGAGACCCGTAAGACCAATTCTCAACCATTGGATTAGATCTACAATCTAAACATTCATAATCACAAAATTGTCACGAGACTTCTCAATAATCACAAAATTGTCACCGTACAACTTTAGACCATTAAATCATTAGTTTATAAAGTTAATCAATAAATATAAATTGGTCTTACAAATCTCACAAAAAAAAATTCACCCAAACCTGTTTTAGAAAACCAAATCTAACCTTTCATTATGAATAGTGGAAAACCACTTGGTTGATAAAACTAATATGTGATTGGTGGTGGTGATTGGTGATTGGTGGATGCCAAAAACAAGGGTGAACCCATTATTGCAATTGTGAAGGTCAAAAAGGAGAAAGTCAAAGAAAAGCTGGCACCAAAATGAAATGCACACTCTATGTAGCTTTGGTGGTGGTGGTTGGGGTTGGTGGAGCACTTTAAACTTTTGGCCCTCAATATGTGGTTCGGGCTGGTTTAGGGCCTGCCATAACGAAGCCAATAAAGCTAACTATGTATGCCTCCAATAATTTCTACATGTCTATCCTTGTTCTGGAACTATTTTTTACCTGTGAGTTTTCAGGTTAAATTATACATACCGACTAATCTTTCAGGTGATCATAAATGGTATGAAGTAATCAGAGGTGAATCTCCATTGTCATAGAGCTTTGATAGCGTCTGGATTTGAACCCGGAGTAGACCTAAAACTTAACCAGTGCGTCACAACCTAAGTGGTTATCTTGGAAGTTGTTTATTAATACAAAATGGGAAAACACTGATTGGTTAAAATTATAGTGTGGGTGAACATTAATTATTGATTGAAGGGTCACTTCCTTAACTCACCAAGTCAGCATTTCATACAACAATGAGCAGTTAAGAAAGACGCAGTAAGTCTTTGATCGAGTAAGCAACCCAAGTAGTTATTTTTCATGTGAAAGAAAAATTGGATACACAATGCAAGCTAGATGGTTGGCTTAAGAGCTCAATGCCACAAGGAGCCCATCCCCAAAATACTTGTAACTCCCATATTATGGCTGTTAGACCCGGATTCTCGTATTTTTGTGAAAATATACCATCCTAAACCTCAGCTGCATGTATTATCCTCTAGGGGCACTGTTTGTTCGGTTTATGCAACCTTAGAATTCAACACAAAAATAGAACTTAGTGCAACTATGTCTTGAATTACTATCGTCTTGTTAACAAGTAATAATGGTATTAAGTATCAAATATCGTTCCCATAGAGAAAACTTTGTAAAGTTTTTTAAAAGTCCAGTCTTTAAAAACTAATTCAAATGACGAATTCGAGGGATTTGTTTTATCTAAAATTAGATGGTTTGATTAACAACTGAGAAAATATCAGTCGTAAAAAGAAGCACAGTGTGCCAAGGTTGATTAAGACACAAAACAGATGATCCAGTAAAAAGATGATATAGCACTCCTACAACAGTCTTAGAGTACCACAGAATGGTTCTATAATATTGTCACGATATCAACTATTGAGTCAGATGGCCTCTCAAGAGTACACACATGCCAACTTGCTATCGATACAATATCATTTATGTTAGATGTCGTGCATCCTAGCACAATACAGTATTACCATCCTACACCGTAGGAGTATAGTACTTGTCAGATTCTAAAGCTCTTTATAACCTTCTCCTATTATCTCAGGTTTTCTTATTTATCTTACCTCTGAAAGTTAATTCATTTTCATACATAAAATTAGTTGTCAAATAATTCAATATAATATTCAATGAAATATTAATCACTTGAAACAGATAGTTAGACAATAATGCTAATAAGACATCTTTGTACTTATACATTGGCTTTAGTCTTAATTTTCCCTTACATCCCAAGCTAAGGCGTTTAGCCCATCATCGTTTGGTTTCTTTTTGCGAAAAAGGTAAAGACTGGAAAGTAAACAACTGATGTAGAAAAGTAAACTGCAAAGAATAAATTGCAAGAATGTAAAAGATTGTAAATTAAAGTGCAGAAATATAAATGGCTGAATGATAAATTGTTGGAATGTAAATTGCAAGAAAGTAAATTACAGTAATTAAAATAATGGAAATTAAAGTACTGAAAAGTAAAATACTATAAATTAAATTGTAGAAAAGTAAAGTGCAAGAAAATATAAAATACTATAAAGGAAATGAGATAAAGTAAAGACAACCAAGTACTTGCAATAAATGAAGTAAATAAACTTGAGACTTGCACTCCAAGTAACGAAACTTGCAAGTTTCATCAGTAAAAGTGAGAAAATACTTGTAAATACCTGGAAAACGTATTTTTAGCTAAGGGAATTAACCGTGACCCGCAAATGATGAAATCCAGTGTATTGCAACAATGATCGATTAATTCCAACTTGTAACGAAAATTAGAGAACTTTTGAGGATCAAAAGTAAACAAGAATGAGATGAACTTTAAAATAATAGAACTTGGACAAAACTTGAAAACAAGAAGAAGGTAACAAATTAACTTAAACAATTTTGTTTCTTGTTATGCAAGAAAGTCGAAAGCTAGAAAACAATAATAATCAAAAGCTAAATTAAACCCAAAGGTTAATTGTTAGTTTTAAGGCTAGCAATAATTGCTATTATAACAAAGACAAGGCTTGTGAAGTAAGGTAGATCATTACCATTAAGGGAAGCTTAAACTATAAGCTAGCCCATAGTCCATGT